CACCAGCTGTGTCTTTGAACATTACCCAACATTGTACTGGGATTTTGTGGCAGTGCCTCTGGAACCATGTTGGAGGACAGACATGGTAAGGAAGGAAGGACCTTTGTGAGGAGAGGAAGTGGAAGAGAGGCTCTACTTCCGTTTCTCAGATTGGCAATTGGTGGGGAAAAACGTAGAGGGGAGGGCCCCATGGCTAATAACAGATTGCAAGTGATTACAGTAATCAGAATATTTCTAAAACTAAAAACAGCTTCTGATAGAGCTGAGAGACTCAGAGGGAAAGAGGTTCTGTGAGTTAGGTGGACAGTAGCATTGCTTTAAGAAAAATTGGGGGGTTATTAAAAGGCAAATCTGGCTTAAGCTCTACAAGGCAGCTCACTGGTTTTCTTCTAGCTCTTTTCTTTCTTTCACTCCTTATCTCGGGACTTTTTCTCTTCTCATTAACACCTCCACCAGAGTTGGAGCTCGGGAAGAGAAAGGAAGTGTTCAGACATGTGCCTATTTGCATACTCACTCTCTTGAGCTAATGCCAGGACGGCACATTCTGTCCAGTTCTATAGAAAAGCCAGTTTCACCCCATCAGTTAAGGTATTATTTTCTTTTTTAGCATAGAACCATTTATTGCCAAGCTTCTCTTAACTGTACATTACAAATAGCGTCTGATTAAGAATGTTCTGGATGGGTTAATTAGTGTGGTGGCTATTATTAAGCAAACTGCTTGTTAGTATTATGCCTATTTGATCTTGGTATTGATGTGAAGTAATTGACCATAGAGCTACATTTAGAAAAGCTGGAATAAAGTTTTTTGATTTCTATTATGGCAATAAATTGTTTATATTAAACATGTCTATGAAAATATGAGTTTCATGGCACAGAGAATCAGAATAGACTCTGTGTGGGATGGTAGATGAGGATTGTTTTGTTTTGTTTTGTTTTGTTTTTTAGAAATATTAATACATTTGTCCAGCTTGCTTCACAACCAGCTCTGCTAGAACAAAGTAGTAAAAAATTATTTCACCTTACTACTGCAGAGTATATAAAGAGTAAAGTGATTTTAACTTAACCCCACCTGAAAGACATATTTCCTTTGTGATTTAGCTAACTGCCTGAATACTTATCTAGGTAACAATCACTATATATAAACAGACTATTAAAGAAAAATATGGGAAGATATTCTAAGCAAGGAAAGCATAGCATGTAACCACCTTCTTTCAAATACCGGATTATTATCTATATTATTTATTGGTATTTTGTCCAGTCCTATTATTAAGTTTCCCTCACTATAGCATTTCCATAGGGAATTTATTCTGTGAGCTAATAAATTATACCATCAGGGAGTTTTTCTTGAAATTCAGCTTAAATTTTCCCATTCTTAATTTCATCTCATTACTTCTAGTTATACCCCCTTGTACCCGGCTAAATAATTATTCTCTTTCCTTGGAGACTCCTATTATGTACCCCTCTACTTGTCACTTAACCAGGCTATTCATATTTAGCTCCTTTAATCTGTCCTCATAAATCAATTCTTCCATTGCCTTAATCATTATTATTGCTCTTCTAAGAACTCTCTAATTTTCAGACTTATACAGTTACAGGTGCCCTGGATGAAACCAGCATTCACACGGCCCTCTGTCCCCACAGGCTTGCTGTCTTCCTTCTCGTTACAACACACTCCATAACAAAGTGGCATCAGTTTGCTGGTCAACTCAGCACAGGCTTCTCTGGTCAACCTCTAGACAATCTCAACAGTGTTTTCCATGTGTCCTACTTGCATTCAGGACTTTTTTTTTTTCAATTTCATAACATTAGTAAGCTGAGTTTTTGTTTACTGTCTATGTTCTGCCTCTTTCCATGTCCCCACTGACCACCACCGATCAAGTCAGCCATCCACAGCATGTGTTAACAGGAGATCCTGTTCATCCTTGACAACATTTAGAAGCAGGCCTAGCACCTTGCCCACAGCGAAATGCCCTGTCATTTACCAATTCCTATTGTTTACGACCCTTTAGCCAGTCTCCCGTCCCTTTTAATTTGCAATTTTGCTCACATGCTAGCCAGTGTAAATGGATTTTAAGAGTAAGATGGGTCATGATACTGTTTTCCAAGATAAAGTTATGTTTCAGTGCCCGCTGATTTTTTTTTAATTGTCAATCCTTCCTGCACTAAATTTGTAATTTTTGTTAAAATCCGTTTTAAGCTTGCCTAGCATCCTTTATTCAACATAAACAAATAGGTTTCTTCCCTTGCTTTATTGTTGTTTTCCAGATACGTACAGATGTTCCTTCTCTTACTATTTGTCTCACTTGTTTAAAATTTAAGATATTGTTGGGATGCCTGGCTGGCTCAGTCAGTGGAGCATGCGACTTTTGATCTTGGGGTTGTGAGTTGAGCCCCACGTTAGGTGTAGAGATTACTTAAAAATAAAATCTTAAAAAAAAGTTAAGATATTGTCATGTTTTGTTGGCTTTTTTTGTTTTTTTGGGGGGGGTTTTGGTGTTCTTTTTTTTTTTTTTTTACTTTTGTGGTGATCAATGGGAACTTTTTCAATGATTTTTTTTTTTTTTTAGTTCCTTAGAATCTCCTCAGTGTTTTGAATTTGTTTCAGGAAGAAAGTTGGTTAGTTCGCATGATAATTTTAGACCAGTGAGATATGAAGCTATAATCTGCATATGCCCAAGTTTCTTTATTTTTAAAATCAAGAATTAATGTATTATTATATTAGGGTATATCAAAGTAGTTAGCACCATTTTTGTGTTTTATCTATCTCTATACAATCATGTATTTATTACTTGGGAGGGTGCTTATATAGAAGGTGATTTCTCTCAAAGGGCTTTATGAGACAAGCACAGAGGCCCCCCAGACAAGCTTTATGATTCTGTAACGTACACAGCACACTTCAGCCAAGGACTTTGTTTCCAGCTCACAGCAGAACCCGCCGTATCCCTTAGTGTTGCCCATCAGTCCTTGCCTTCAGACCTAGTGAACGTCCTCGGCCCCTCTCCCCTGTTCTGGTCCCTCAGCACCCTTCTTATACTTACCTTCACCTCTGCTCACCTCGCGTGAAATAAATGGCCTCGTCTAATGCTTTGGTGACACACCATAGATTGCACACCTGCCACCTGAAACTTTTTTCCAGCTTCACTTGTCTCTCCTTCCTTCAGCTTTGTAAGAAAGCTTGGTCTGTTCTCTTTTATAAGGCCTACTTGCTTTCCCCCATTCCAAGAATCCTACATGCTATGCTATCCTCCTGCTTCTGACTTGTAAGACTTTTCTGTTTCTTCAGGAGCCAGTTCCCTTCCCTAGCAAGTGTCCCCAAGTAAACACCCAAGTGAATACCCCTATATACAGGTGCCCCATTAAGGAAAACAGACCTGGCTTCCCCATTCTCCTCTCAGTCTATCTTTCTCTGCCTCTCCCTCTGTGATGGGCGCACTATAACCCTCAGGCTGATTTCAGCCTGCACTCTCCACAGGATCTACCCTTCGAGTAGCAAGTGATCCAAATGCTCATTTTATCTGGTGCCCTGGTACCTCTACAATGCTTAACACCCCCTTTTTTATGCATTTTTAAGGTTTCTTGATTCCTTTCTTAGACATTCTTTTGAGGCTCTTAACTCACTTCAATAGGGTGATATTATTCTCTCAGATTCTCTTTTTACTTTTCCAGATGTTCCTTATTGCTCTCCTTCCATGATTCTTCTTCCTTACCTACATCTTAAATGCGTATAGTCTCCATTTCTTCACTTACTCAACCATCCAGGGGAGGGGTGAAGTCTCACGATGGGCCGCAGGGACTCTGAGAAAGCACTTGTTGTCTGGCCTCAGTCTCCCTCTCTAGACCTCCCATTTTGGGACCTGGCCCCAGCCTCTTTGGATTGCTTGCTATTCCCTGAAGAGTTATGGTCTTTCCCAACCTTTTCCTTGGATCACAACATTCTCTCAGTCTAGAACTTCCCCTTCTCTGCCTTTAAAGTCCCTCAACTAAAACCATCTTTAAGCCTTTACTGATCCCCAAGTCACAATTAATCTCTAGTTCTGTTTTAAAAGTTGGAATGTTCATTCTTTTTGCTTTCCACCACGGGTTAGTTGGGTGTTCATGTCTGTTCTAAGCACTACTGGTTTGCTCCCCAGTAGATGGTGAGCTTCTTGATTTCATTTTATTTAGATGCTTCTAGCAATAAGTAACAGATACCAAACTCTGTATGGCAAAGCGTTATGGGAAGACAGGGAAGAAATGACATTGAAAAAATATCTTTCAAGAAATATTCTCGAGGTCAATTTAATAAAAATGTGTGTACAGGTGCCCAGGCATACAGAACAGTCATGTGAGCAGAAATGGCCAGTGTTAATCAAGGAAGTTTCAAGCATTTTTGTTGGGTAATGATTAAGTGTGGCTTGGAAATATACATTGGGCCATACAGTGACTAGAAAATGTAAAATGGAATTCTGGCAAGGTGAGCGAAAGGAGAGTGATAAATCATCTCTCTATTCTTATTTTTCACAGATTGCGAAGTGTAGGTTTTATAGCCGCAGAAACACTTTGAAAACCACTCAAAGACAATGTGGTCTAATTTCAAAGTTTTGAACTTTCTCTGGATGGCTATTACTTTTTGTACTTTTTCTAGAATGTTTGTTATATGTTTAGTTTATTTTTATCAGTTTTCTACATCATCCTTGTGTCCTTACAGAAAGGTAAAGGACAAGTTTTAAATCACGGGGGAGACGAACCATGAGAGACTATGGACTCTGAGAAACAAACTGAGGGTTCTAGAGGGGAGGGGGGTGGGGGGATGGGTTAGCCTGGTGATGGGTATTAAAGAGGGCACGTCCTGCGTGGAGCACTGGGTGTTATATGCAAACAGTGAATCATGGAACACTACATCAAAAACTAATGATATAATGTATGGTGATTAACATAACATAATAAAATTTTTTAAAAAATTAAAAAAAAAATAAATCGTATTTTCACTAAAAGTATATTGCATTTCCTTTTCATAACAG